TTTTTTTTTTTTTTTCAATCTGTCTTGCTCAGGAATCTTCCTAGAGACAAGTAACATACTAAACCTAGAAAAATAAAAAAACACAAGCCAAACAAAAAAAATCTAGGCATACTTTACATTTTACAAATATTAAACCTATGAATTGAGCTGAGAAGAAAGCAAGAGGGAAAATACGAAAGTGACACAGAAATACATTTACTTCTAAACCAGTACTAGATTTCTTTTTTTAAACTTGTTACAACTTTTAAGTTTTTTTTTAATTAGGACTAGTAATTGACATTATTACAAATAACATGATGGTATTTTCAGAAAACCTACTTAATTAAAAAGCACTTATTAATATTTTTATTTTAAACCAAAATGGCATTTGAATTGAGATTTCAAATGAATTATTAATTGTTTTAAAGTCCACTGGTCCTATTCTTTCCCCCTCCAAGAAGGCTAAATTTTCTCCTGTATAAAATATCAAACAGTGAGTCAAATTTGACCATATATAGTCAGCTTCTGTGAAAAAGGAGAAAATTTGCAAATAATAAAAATAAAAAATATCTCCAGCCCTATGGAAAGTCCAGATTAGCTCTCTTTTATTCCAGAAACTCAAAAGAACAGATGTACTATAGAAAACTGCAAAGTATATATGCCACCATTTATTTTACTCAAACATCCAAGGGTCAAAATTCAAGCAAAAAAAAAAAAAGTCCCCATAAAATGAGCAACAAATGCCTCAGAGCTTTAATGCCTGCATAAGACAAATATTTCATGTCAAGCTCACATTGCACTTTTAAAGAGTTTCTCATTTTCACTAACTTGCATCCACCAATTGAGCAATTATGCAATATGTGGGTGTACCTTGCAGTCGTTTTCTGTACATCTGCATTCTGTGTTAAATTCTAGCTGTACAAGATGTCTGATAATTTTTCTTTATCTTGAACCTTCAAAGTGGTAGGTTTACCAGAGGCAAAACCACACATCAGAGAATATGAGTCATATAATAAAGAAAGGACTCTTCTCCTTCTCCCCCTTCCCCCCTGAAGCTATAATAACCTAAAGACACTCCCTTGTAAATGTCTTCTCTGGTAACACTGATAGCATGTAACAACTCACAATCATTTAGCCAATGAATGAAGATTTTTTTAAGTCTTTACTGTATCCATAACAAATTGCTTTCAGTATCATTTTAAGGCAAATTAAAAACTGTGATACTGCAAAAATAAAATTCAGAATGTCTGTGCACTTGCTTTCATATAATACATAAATATGAAACATTCTCTGCATGTTCCTATAAATAACAGCATAAAAAGATGAAAATAATTTAACATAAGATACCTATGCAAGTTAATCCGAAAAGTACCTCTCATTTGTCTACAAAAGAGTAGCCTCCATATAGAAATCCTTATTTTCAAACGATTCCATATCTAAAGAAGGCAACATTTACACAGAAGCAAACCACTGCTCATGCCAACTACAATACACGAGGAAGCAAACCCCCACCTTACTTGACCACTGCTTACACGAGCTTCCACTCTGAAGTGCAGTAAGTTTGGGAAACAAAACTGAGGCTACTCCAGCCTTTTATCTCCTTTTATATCCTTTTCTGTAGGTAGACAGTAACTCCTCAGGCTAACATCCTGCACCTAATTCCACGTAAGAAATCAGCTTTCAACAAAGTCTTATTTGATGTGTCAATATGTATGATTGCATCAGAAAATTTGAAGAGAACTAGATGCAGAAACAGCAGCATTTACAAACAGCAGCAAATAAATCCATAACAACAAAACCCTGCACCACTAAAACAGGTGCAACCACCACAGTCTTGTAAGAAAACTAACCAGAGGTGATGCTGGCATAAGGTCTTCCCATGACCATCAAAAAGTAAAAACCCCCAATGTTACAGCAAATCAAAGCAAAGCAACATGTACCCCCTTGAAGCAGAATAAATGAGTTGTTTGTATTCTTACCTGTGTATAGTCAAAGTCAGAAAGAGGAGCTATACTCTTGATGTAGTCCATTCGAAATTGGTTTTCTGGGTTGGCCAATGGAACTGGGGGTATTAAAGTGCTCATTGCTGAAACTATAGTCTAGAATTGGATAAAACAAAAAAAAACCCACATTAATCTGGATAAACGCGGGATACAGGATCAATAGAAGATAATCCAATCTGATCAGCAAAATGGGATTTCTCTCACCACAATCTTGGAGAGCACAATCCTTCTCATTTCCAGCAAAACCAAGCATTTAAGAACAGTATAAAGTGTGTTCTTACCACAATCGCATCTTTAACATTTTTCCGAATATCCAGTATTTTCTGTTTCTTTTCTCTGCATTAAAACAGAAATATTAACACTTTGATTTTTTCTTCCAAAGCAGTTCAGTCAGTTGCATTTAATTTTTTTTCACTGATCGCTTGTTTATCTGCTCTTCAATCATTAAAACATACTAACAGAAAAAAAAAAGCAAGAAAAATATATTTTCCCCTTATCCCTTTTCTTGCACAATATGAAGAGCAATGCACATTCATCCCTGAGATATTTTTTAAAATCAGACAATCATGGACACATCTGCAAAGCCTCCCCTAATGGAACTGGAAGTCATTCTTTCGTTTCTACAACATGCTGTAAACATGCTTGAAATTACCAACACATAGTTGAAGGTAAACAGATATCTAAAATTAATGCTATGGACTAATAATGATCTCTGGCAAAGAGTTCTTCAGGGAGAAAATGATGTAGCCTCACAAAACAGGATGATTTCTAACAAATATGCAAAATTAGTTTCAGTTTTACGCTAACCCCAACACCGGAAAAACAGCACACACTGTCATCCTTAATATGACTTGTCATGTATTTTTATATTACAGACAGATGCAATATTTGGTTATTTGCTTCTATGTAAAAAGTAGTCGCCATGTTGTTGCTACACAGGGGCCTGTCAAGCGCTGCAGTAGCAACAGTGTAAAAATACAGTAAAGGGGCCAGAAGGAGAAAATGCAAACATACAATAGCAACAATTTCCTTATTCTCACTTGCCTCCCTCCCTCAAAACGCAGTGTCAAGCCACCAAAACACAGGGGATGAGAAATTTCCTAGCCTACTGTGTGTTAACCTGTTTCCAACATTTAAGGAAAAATAAGTCACAAAGTGTCAATAATTCTTACTCTGAATTAAATCCATTGACATGTAGGATTCGCATTTGTTTCACAATAGTGCTTTTTCCTGACTCACCAGCCCCTAAAAGAGAAAGAAGGGAGAACATTGTGATACACGGTTCAGGCTGGGGGGGTCGGAGTGGTTTTTTTGGGGTTTTTTTTTGGACGCGACAGCATCTCCCACCTCGGCAGCATTTCTGTATATGTGCATCCATGTGGCTCAGGCGCTGAGCTCGATCTGTGGACGCCTCGCTCACTGCTCAATACAACAGCCTACGTTTTTCATACCTAAGGCGCACGCCGCATCTCCCCTCGCCGCATCTCTCCCCTCGCCGCTCGCCCTGCCGCCCCGGCGGGCTGGGGCAGATGCCCCCTCCTCGCCCTCCTCTCCCCGTCCCCCACCTCTGCCCCTTCCTTCTTACCCAGGAGCAGCAAGCGGTGTGTCGCTTTATAAGCCAGCCTCTCTTTCTGCAACTGCTTCTCTATTTTTTTGTTGGCTTCTCGCTGCGCTTTCTCATCGATACGCTGATCCTCCGTTTTGCTGTTGCCCAAACACCCCATAGCCGCTGCTTAGGGTGGATGTCAAATCGCTGCCTTCACAGATTTAGTATTTACAAGGGGGAGAGGGGCGGGGGGGGGGGGGGAGGGAGGCAGAAGACAAGTCTTTATATCCGTGTGTGTCCCTGCGACGGTCTCTCTCCTCTTCTTCCCCCCCGACTCGCTCACATAAAATGGTCTCTGGCCGCTTTCCGATCGCAGCGGAGTTGGCTGGTTCGCTCCCCGCCAGAGATGCGGAGAGCAGCCGGCAGAGGTGTCCCTGCCCCGGCGGGGAGGGGGTGGGGGGAGAAATCTGCGCAAAAATGCCTAACATGCAACGAGAGGGAGAGAAAAGGGCTCCTCCTGGAAACCAGCCGGGTGCCGCTCTCCGCTCTCCCTCCCCACAGCGCACACAATCCCTATATTTCTCTGTAAAGGTCTATTTTTGTCTTCCTAACTCAGCACTGCCTCTTTCTGCGAGACCAGGAAACAGCCCCGCTACCAGCCCTTACGCGCAGGGAAGCCGAAGGAGAAAGGTAAAAGCCGGACGGATCTACCTGGATCCTGCGGGGCCGGGGCCAGGCGGCTCTGCGGGGCCCGCGCCCCCCGCCCCGGGCCGCCCCCGCCGCCCCTCACGGCCCCTCACGGCCCCTCACGGCCCCCGCGCCCCGCCAGCGCTGCCGCCGCCAAAACCTGGATCTGGCATCGCCTCCGCGGGACCCGCGGCCTCCGGGCCCCCCTCCCGCGGCCTGGCGGAGGGGAAGGGGCTGCGGGGCGCTGCGCCCGCGGAGCTAGGGGGGCCTTTCCCGATCTTTCCCCGCGTTCCTCGGCGGTGCTGGAAGAGCCCGGCCGCTACCAGAGCAAGGGCTGGCACTCCTGGGTCTGAAATCCCAGGCTGGCGTGGCCCAGGTGGTGGCTGCCATCGTGACTGACCTGGGGGAGCAGCGCCGGGAGCCTGCCCGTGCTAGCGGGGTGGGGTGTGCGGGGGGGCTGCCCGCGTGTACCCCGACACAGGGGTACAAACGCACAGACACAAACACCCCGCCTCGCCTTCTTAACAAACAAAATGTCCCTGTCCACAACTTGTCACAGCACCGCACGGGCTGTTTTTTTCCACTGAATATTCCAAACCGTATCATCTGAACCAGAAAATGAAGCTGTCCAAGCAGCTCATGATAATGTTTAATCTGAACATGATAACATGCATGCTAATATCACCACAACAACAAATCTCAGAAAGAAACCATATCCTTGTTCCTTCATTTACCTCCATTTTAGGTCCTAAAATGAAACTTCAAGCTAGACAACCTTATAGGTATTCCTTGCTACAAATCTCTTGCCTTGCAAACTGGCATCTCAGTGCAAAAGCAGCAGTAAAGCACCTGGCTCTTCCTAAACTTCCACTGTGCAGAAACCACCTGCACAACTCAAACGTGATCCTTGATACACTGAAGCACAAGAGCACTAGAAAAAGGACTCTGAATTCCCGACATACTTTCAGCTTTTATTTCCAAATATTATTATTCCCTCATACTTCCAAGGATGGATTACTGAAAATTTAGTATTTTGATAGCTACATATACGTGCAAACTCCTGGTCTCAACTAAAAACAAAGAGAGATTGCCATCAACTTCAATCAAACAAAACAGCATTTTAATCTAAAAAGTCTTAAGATGAACGTGGTGGGAAAAAAGAAACTGAGTTTTACAAGCAAAAGGATTTAGTTTAGTTTTGTTTTTCAGAGGCTCTCTTTCAACGGTGAAAAGTGCTGAAAGTGGTACTGTCTATGTTGAGTGCACACCAGAGGAAGGTGAAAAGGGCAGGACCCAGAAAAGAAACAGGTACTGCTCCACCTGTGGTGGAGTTTTCAGGAGACTATGGAATTCAAGTGCCAAATATGTGGTTTTATGGTACTCCTTGATCTAGGCTCTGGAAGCTGTTTTATCTTCCTTCTTACATAGGTGGGGGAAGTGGAGGGGGGGAACGCAACACCCTACAAATAAAAATTGATAATATCTGCCAGTCTGAAATATGCTTTTTTTCAGCATTACTGAGCTGCATTTTTTAGGACAGACTGTTTTTTTCCTATTGATTTTTTCCTGCCAGAAAGCAAAAAAAGCACCTGAGATACAGATAGGTTTAGAAGCACAATTCAGGGTGACTGCTGTTTTTGGAGGTTGTCAGACACAGGATATATGATGAACAGCTTTTGTGAAGAGCAGTCATGTTTGCTCCCTGGCATAGGACTATGAGGGCTCAAAACTGGCTTGGTTAGAAATCACTGACTGGGTCTGAATTTTCATAGTTCTTCAGTGTCAGAAACCATACTTAATGATGCACAAGATTTGTGTAGCCATATTTAATTCCTATGTAAATACCTCAGTTTGAGACCTAGGTCCCGAATCTGGCTAGTGTCAGTCAGAACTAGGAGCTAAATCTGCCTTGTTTCTTCCTCTTCTCTCCACAGCAGTTTTCTTCCTGCATGTACTAACATTGGGATTTTTGGTGCAGATTTGTTCCCAGCTTTGAAACGGCTCAGTGCCAATAAATAGAATTTGATGGGATCCTGGTATATCCTGCTTTTACCTTTCTCCAAAAGAGGGAAAGTGTTTCTTATTTCCTCTCTCCCCCTCGAAAAACCCCATGACCCCTTTGGGTCTCTTCCTCCTGAGAAAAGATCACACAGTTCAAGAATGACACGCGCAAGCAACCTGTGCCCAGAAAGAACTTTTGGCTGTAATTATATTCAAAACCCTCCCTTTGCTTTTCCCAAACACAGCACTTATCCTGACATAATCGAACTACAAAATCCTAGAAGCAATAATAAACATAAGAGAAATTTTCTGCCCCTTTGGACACAACTTTTTTTTTTTCCCCTGGAGAGAAATCACAGCTATCACATAATTATGTCTCCTCTGCACACCGATAAAGCTAAAACTCTATAAAAGGCTTCAGCAGTACTGCTTCACCAAACCAGCTTCTAGTACAAATAGTACACGGGAATAAAAACAAAATCCTGGACAAAAGGAAAGGAGACTCTTCCTGTTCTTTCCCGTTTCTTCCCAGGCAGCCAACATGGGATACTCCTCGAGTTCCTAGTCCTCCTGAAAATGAGGTATTTCATGTTGCCTCTGCCCCTTCAGATCAGGCAACATATGTATACATACATATATTTATTGTTGCACATATATAAAAATATAAATACACACTGAGTGGGTGTGTGCAAAAATTAGATTAATTTTCTACTTCATGCTCAAGCTTAGTGCTGTCCAATTGTGAAACCAGGCCATACATCATAAGCCCTCATGGAGTGAAACCAGAGGCATCTTCATTTCCTGCTTTCCTTTGCAAGTTCCCATCTCGGGTTGCATTGTTTGTGAGCTTCAGGCTGAATGTTGGGAGCCCAAGTCGCTTGTGTGAGGCCATGTTTGCATTCTTGGATGGAAGAGGATTGACAGACCAGCTGAGGCCAAGTTCAAGCAAACAGCCACACTGGGTTGCCACCCCTGCCACAAAGGCAGTCTTGTTTCTCATTCCTATTCTGTTTGCGGTAAGGAAGGACAAAAACCCAGCAAGAATTAACAGGGAGCTCCTACAGATGCAGCTCAAGAGATGCAGTTGCTCCTTGCCCCTCCAGTCCAGAGCAGGACTGATGCAGAGTATTTTCTTGCAAACACGAGGTAGAGGTGGAGAAAGTTTCCCTACAGAAACCCTGCACACCCTTTGCAGACCATCTTCCCTTTACACAGCCGCTATTGTGGCTTTGGTTCTGTTTCTCAAAAAAAAGAGTAGATGGAAAGATCGAGGTAATTAAAAGCATAGGAGGGATCTAAACAACTGGTAAAGAGATTTCTTGCTGCTTGACACTCTTCCTGCCTCACGGTCTCTGAACTCTCTGCTGACACCATCGCCAAGCACGGGCACTGCACTAGGTGAGTGACCTGACCTGCTTCTCCACACTGGCCTTGCTTTTTCATGTAGCCCATCACTGCAAATCAGGATACGCGACTCACTAATATCTGTGGTTTTTACTCCACCCCATCATCCAACTGGGGTCTGAAAAGAGAAAAATAAATTGCTATTTCCATAGGTATTAAAGAAAAATAATTTGTTCTCTTTGGTAATAAATTCTTGGTAAGTTCATTTGTCTGCAGATGTCAAATAGTAACACAAAAGTACACACTCCGTGGAAGGCTACATTTGGAGTTTTATAAGATACATGAACAAGGAACCACAAAAATTATGACTCTGACTGTATTAAAAACACTAAGGGTCCAGAAAATACACAGCACATACTTTGCAGAGAAATGAATGTCATGCTAAAAAAATCTAACCTTCATCCTTTTGTTTAAACCCATGACCTTAAAAAAGTCATTAAAAGAATTTTGAGAGGAGCTCATCTGTTTTGAGAAGCAGGATGGGAGAGATGCCAGAGAAGGTGAGGTATGCATTTCCACTATGTCTGTGGACCTGATCCTGAATCGCCTTCACATCCATGGATTAAGGACAAATTCATTGATGCAGAAGAGGGTCAGGCAATGCTAA